GTTTTCCTCTGGGTTTAAATGATGCTGTCACCAAGTGCAGCCTTCAGTCATCCCCAGGGCAGACCTAGGAGCTCCCAAAATTTGATACAAACCTGTGGGAATCAGTTTGGCAAACTGATTATAAATTCAAATTAATTTATTTTCAGACTGAAACACTGCAATAACACGGGGAGGCAGGTTGCAACACAAGAGGTGGTTTCTAAGTGCATTAAACTGCAAATACCTAAAGTTAAATCTGTTTAAAGGTAGATTTAGACAACAGAGTGAGCTTTACCTCAGCACAGGACAGGAACACAGTGTCCTTACCAGGACAGGAAGCCACACATGTCACTGCATCGGAGTGAGCTACCAAAAGCACAAAAGGATAAAGAGCCTCAAAGATTGCATCCAGCTTTCCCACACATTCCCAAGGCCCTCCAGAGGCACAGCAGTTTAACAGTTAACTCTTGAATAACTTCTGCTCAGCAGCAGCCAGCTGCCTCCTGCTACCCAAGGGTCCAAGCGTGGCCACAGTCCTTGTGACAGCCCTGAGCTCGAGGGAGCCACACAAGGGCTGGGGGACAGGGCCAGAGCGGGCTGTCACGGGGATTAAAAAGGGACACTCACCTCTGTAGGAGTGCAGCACCGTTTGCTCCGGGATGTCCCAGACCTTGACGCTGTGGGCAAGAGAGCAGTGAGTGCCCAGCACAGCCCGGGCACGGGCTGCCAGGCTGGGCACACTCACCAGCAGTCCCTGCCCCCGCTGACAGCCTGGCTGCTGCCCGCCAGCACCGACACCGAGCTCACGATGTCGTCGTGCTCGTATTTACAGAACTTGTTCACTATGAGGCTCTCGTTCTCCTCCAGCTCCCACAGCTCCACGGCACCTGGGGACACAGGGACAGGGACACCCTGCTCAGGGACACCCAGCTGAGTGACAGGGACACCCAGCTCACCAACAGGGACACCCTGCTCAGGGACACCCACCTGAGTGACAGGGACAGCCACCTAGGTGACAGGGACAGGGACACCCTGCTCAGGGACACCCAGCTGAGTGACAGGGACACCCAGCTCACCAACAGGGACACCCACCTGAGGGACAGGGACAGCCACCTGGGTTACAGGGACAGGGACACCCTGCTCAGGGACACCCACCTGAGGGATAGGGACACTGACCTGAGTGACAGGGACACCCATCTCACCAACAGGGACACCCAGCCAAGGCCAGGCTGGGCTGACCTGAGAGGGACACCCACCTGGGTGACAGGGACACCCTGCTGAGTGTCAGGGACACCCACCCCAGTGAGAGGGACACCCAGCTCAGGAACAGGGACACCCACCTGAGTGACAGGGACACTGACCTGAGTGACAGGGACACCCATCTCACCAACAGGGACACCCAGCTCAGGGACAGGGACATCCACCCCAGTGAGAGGGACACCCATGTCACCGACAGGGACACCCAGCCCAGGGACAGGGACACCCACCCACCTCTGAGAAGGAAAGGGGCCCGCACGCCTCAGGGGAGGGCCTGGGGGTCCCCAGCCCAGCACTGTGACGGGGCACAGGCGCACCCCAGCCAAGGAGGGCAGCATCCCCGCGGCTTACCGGAGTCGGAGGCCACCAGGATGCCCCTGTCGGCCAGCCAGCACAGGTCGGCCACCCCCGCCTCGGTCTGCACGCCGGCCGTGCAGAAGCCCTCGCTGGGGGCGCGCCGGGGCTCGGCGAACACCCACAGCGAGCCGGTCCAGCAGCGCCCGTTGAGGCCGGAGGCGCCCAGCAGCAGGGCCCCGTCTGCGGGAGAGACACGAGGGGAGGCGCGGTTGGCGGCGCGGGGCGCGCCCGCGGAGCGGCCCCGGCCGCCGGGCTAAATGGTCACTAGCGGCGGCGGGGCCGGCGGCGCCCCCACGTGTCTCCCGCCGCCGCCTGCTCTCGCGAGAGCGCCCGCCCCGCGCCCGCCTCCGCCGCGCTCTCGCGAGAGCCGCGCCGCCATCTCGGCCGTCAGCGAGCGGGACGAGCGGGGCTCCTCAGGGCCGCTCCTCACCCTGCCCTGTCCTGCTCTGTCCTCCTTTGTCCTGTCCTGCCTTGTCCTGCCATGCTGTCCCGCCTCGTCCTGCGCGCCGGTGAGCCCGGGCACTGCCGCCGCTCGGGGGGGCGGGTGGGGGGTGCTGCCGAGCTCTGCCTGACGCGCTCTCTGCCCTCTTGTCCCCTCAGCCCCCGCCGCGCTGAGGGCGCTGCCGCCGCCCGTGGCCGTGGGGTGAGTACCGGGCAGCCCCGGGGGGTGTGTGCTTAAACAGCGGTATTCCGTGGTTTTGTCTCGGGTTTTGCTCATTGATACCGCGGGAGTGCGGAGAAGGAGCTTGTGGAGGTTATCTGGTCCCACCCCTTCCTGAGGAGGAGTGTCCTGTAAATGCCACCTTCTTCGAATCACCGACCAGTTCGGGGCGGAAAGAGCCTTAAAGCTCATCCAGCCCCACAGCCTGCCGTGCACAAGGACACCTTCCCGGAGCAGGGCCAGCCTGGCCTGGGCACTGCCGGGGATGGGGCGCCCTGTGCCCGCCCCGCACAGTTACTGCTTATTTAATGGGAAATGCGCTTGAGCCCCATCTAAGGGTGGTTTGGGGGACTGCTTCTGTCTGGTTTTTAATAAGAATCATTACTGAGATGTTCTCCTCGTCCGCAGGGTGTTGCACGCCACAAGACCCCTGCACACAACTCAGCAGAGTTCGGCTCCTGTGCCCCCTCTGCCCGAGAAGGGAGGAGAAGTTCGTCATGGTTTGATCCCTGAGGAGTTTTTCCAGTTTCTCTACCCTAAAACAGGAGTGACAGGTTAATATAGACTTTTACCATTTTTAGCTGTGTTTACATGGTTCTGCTCAGCAGTTCTGGCTGCTGAAAAGGTAAAATATTGCTGAAAATGAGTGTTTTGCATGTGCAGGTTGTGAAGAACAAGCCACTGTAGGACTCCTGGCTATAAAGTTAGACACCTAATGGTTGAAAGGATTCCATGAGCTTTATTTTATAGAGAGATTTATTTGCCTGTTGGTCCTTAAAAAATGTAAATTCTGCATGTTTCTGAATGAGCAGAAGCAGCAGGTCCCATGTCAGGTGCAGGCTGCTCCCACGTGCAGTGAGGTTCCTTGTGGCACCTTTCCCAGCTGGAACTGGGCTCTGTTTTTTGCCCTGGTAAAATGGAACACTTCTTCCTGACCTTGTGAGCTTTTAAATCCCCCTGTTAGCTATTTCAGTTTATTGATGCTCGTTGTGCTTTATACAGAAGTGCTGCTTTGTTTCTCCTGTAGGGCCCTACATGCTGGGCACTGGCCTCCTGCTCTACCTGCTGTCCAAGGAGATCTACGTGATTAACCACGAGACAGCAGCAGCTGCCTGCATACTGACAGTCATCGTTTATGCCATCAAGAAGTTCGGGCCTGATGTGGCAGCTTTTGCTGACAAACTGAACGAGGTAATGGAGAAACTGCAGCTGGACCCTGCAGCTGTCAGTGAGGAAGGGTTTTGGTCAAGTGCAGATGGCTTCCCCTGCCAGAGGGCAGGGTTAGGTGGGATGTTGGGAATTGGGAATTGTCCCCTGGCAGGGTGGGCACAGGTGCCCACAGCAGCTGTGCTGCCCTGGATCCCTGGCAGTGCCAAGGCCAGGCTGGGCAGGGCTGGGAGCACCTGGGACAGTGAAGGTGTCCCTGCCATGGCAGGGGTGGCACTGGGTGGGGTTTAAGCTTCCTTCCAACCCAAACCAGCGTGGGATTCCCTGGCTGGGTGTGAGCCCTCGTTCTCCCCGTTGGCACAACCCCAGCCCTGGCCCAGGGCAGTTCACACATTTCCACAGCTCAGTGCAGCTCTTCAGCATCACCAGCACACCCCGTGTTTTCCTGTGTCTGGCTGAAGCGTGGGGTCCTTCCTCTCTTGCAGGAGAAGGTGGCCACGGCTCAGGCCATGAAGAACGAGGCCATCGAGACGCTGCAGAAGGCCATCGAGGACGAGAAGAAGGAGCAGTGGAGGGCAGAGGGGCGCAGCTTCCTCTTCGATGCCAAGAGGGTGAGCAGGGCAGCGCTGCTGCTGCTGCTGCTGCTGCTGCAACTGCTGCAACTGCTGCTGCTCAGCGCCAGGCTGTGCCCTGCTGCCCTCCTGGCACTCCTGCCACACACCATGCCCTGCTGCCAGGCCTGAGCTCTTGTCTGCTCTCTGTTGCAGAACAACATTGCAATGCTGCTGGAAACCAACTACCGGGAGCGCTTGCTGACGGTGTACAACGAGGTGAAGAAGAGGCTGGACTACCAGGTGGCCATGCAGAACCTGAAGCGGCAGAAGGAGCAGGACCACATGATCCAGTGGGTGGAGAGGAACGTGGTTCAGAGCATCACACCTCAGCAGGTACTTGCTGGGGTTTACCTGCTTCACTTCTAGCCTGCACAAAGGTTTGCTGTTCAGGGATCCTGGCTCACGAGGTGATGGGTAACCGTGGCCAGGGGTGAGACTGGATGAGCTTTGAGGTCCCTTCCCACCCAAACCTTCTGGGATTCCAGGAATCTGTGCTTTATTGGATGTGAATCCCTCCTTCATGAGCTATAATTGCATCCCTCTTAATCAGTAACTTACAGGTCTAAAAAGGTTTATCTAAAATGCCCTTAAATGCCTGTTTTCTTGTTGAAATGCCTCCTGAAGGCTGTTTCCTGTCTCTTGCAGCAGAAGGAAAGCATTGCCAAGTGCATCCTGGACCTGAAGGCACTGTCCAAGAGTGCCCACGCAGCCGTGTGAGCAGTCTGAGCCCACTGACGTGCCCCAATACCTCCTCTTGGAAACTGTATGACTCTAAAATATCATTAAACAGACAAAAAAACTCCTCTGCTGTCTTTCACTATCAACAGTCCCTGCCTGTTTGTGTTTGAAGGATGGTCACTCCAGCCACTGCAGCTGGTTTGTGGTGGGGGCTGAGTTGGAGCCACAGTGTGTGAGATCCTCTGGGATTCCCTTGGTCAGGAACACTTCCAAAGGTACAGAGCTTCACAGAGGAAAGTCCTGCTGCTGAAGGGATCCCTGTGACAGAATTCTGAGTGCTGGCTGCCTGCTGTACACAAGTTCTAAAGTCAGGGTGATTTGTGCTGCCATTCACCTGGCCCTGGCTGGGGCAGCTCTGGGTGAATGTTCTTGTTCTCTAAAGGAGCTGGGAACCCCCTTTCACCATAAAGCCTCGTGGAGTGTTGCAAGAGTTTGGGTTCTGGGAGAAGAGATTGGGCAGGAAATGTGTCAAAAGCTCCTGAAAGCCTCCTCAGCTGGCTGTGTCAGTGCTCAGTGTCCAATGGGACATGGTTTGTTCCAGAGGAGTTCTGGACTTCCATCACTCTTGTTCCTTTTCTTTCCATAGGAAGCTTTTCCCTGAAGGAATTTGTCAAAACTCAAAAATCGCAGCAAAGCACACACACAAATAGCCTCCCCTGTGTGCTGAGATGTGATTTGTGTACTCCATAAACCCCAGTGGGCACACGGGGGGTGCCTGCAATCCCATTTCTAGTGGGGTTGAGGGACATGGTTTTCTTGTACCTCAGTTCACCAAAATGGTCTTCTTTAGAGGCAAGAACCTTCCTTCAAGCCAACCGAAGCTGAAGCTGCCTTACTTTTTTTCAGACTAACAGTTCCAGAGAATGCAGGTGTCTTTCATGGTTTCCTGTTTTTTTGTCAATTTAAATAAAAAAGTGAAGTTGCTTAACTTCCACAATTGGGTAAGCCCACATCTGATTGACATTTGAGCTTTTAGCTGGTGTGACAGATTGTTCTCACAAAGCAAGTGGTTAAAGTGGTGTGCTGACACTTGGGGAGCTTTCCAGCAGCCCTTCCATGGTGGGAGGTAAGATGGAGCTGTATCATTTCTTGTTTCTTTTAAACACAGCCCCGGTGAGGTTTGGTGTGGGGAACTGGGAGGTTTCATGGTCTGACTCCTCTGGAATGTGGCAAAAATGGGATGCAGGAGGAAAAGTGGCGGCAGCAGAGAGCAGGGTGTTTTATTTTCATGTTGTAATATTTTCACATTGTTCACAATCTGCAGTTTGCAAAGCGTGTGGTGGGAAATGCCAGTGTAGGGATTTTGTAGTGGAATATCTTTTGGAATCCCTGTCTCCAAGATTCCCCACACAAACTGGAGAAGAAAGTTACTGTTCCCGTTTTGGTGGGAAAAGTCAATTTAACTTAAACAAAAACATCAAGGGAGCTTTTCAAAGCTGCTTCTGATTATGAAAATGTTCATAGGGTTTTTTGCTGCTGCAGAAATAATCCTGTAGGTGCTTTCTAGTTTTGAATATCCTACATTTTCTGGGTGGAGAAGGCGCCGTGCCCGCCAGGGTGAACTCGTGTGTTCAGGAACGAGGCACTGGGCAGGGGCTGGTGCTGAGGAACTGCCAGCTTTGAGTGCCTTTGTGCCACTTCTGCAAGATCTCCAAGAAATGAATAAAAGCTAAATCAAGTATTTTGAGCTGGAAGAGGATAACAAGTTTGTTGTGCTTACGTGTGTATGTGTATAAATAAAACTCTCCCTTTCTTTCAGCTGTCAGTTAATGCTCTGAGAGAATGGGAAGCTTTTCCTCAAAAGAAGCTCCAGGTATTTTATTTTTTAAGGGGTTTCCTCAGCTGCAGTGCTGCTGACTGAGTGATGCCCTGCCCAGGGGAGGCTCAGCACTGGGGTGCTTGGGGAAGAGCTGCATGGCTGCCAGGCTGCCTGGCACAGTCATTGCCTCAGCAGCAGAATTTTCCTGTCTGGTGCTTCCACTTTCAGACAGACTGCACAGACACATCCCCCCGTGTGGTTTTAGTTGCTTGTAGTACCACTGGGGAAATCTGCACATTTTAAAACAAGCTTGTGATTTTTTTTTTCTATTGCAGTTACACCAGAACCCATTTGCCCTACCACCACTGTCCCTACCACTGCCCACACCCCTACAGCTGATTTCAGAGCTGCAGAAGAGAGATGCTGGATTAATAAGTAAATGTGCACCTTTATTTCCTGATTCAAACCCAGAGTTCCCTGGGACTGCAGCTTCCTTCTGCAAGGGAAGGGTTCTATATCACATATTTGACATCTGGGGGGGTTAAAGCTTGGTTGGAATTGCCTGGGCTGTGCTCTGGATGGTGGATCCTGGAGATGCTCAGTGCAGATACACACGTTGGTCTGGTGGGGCTGGGGATGAATGTTACACTCCACGAAGTTTGGATTTGAATTTGAGCACTACTGGTGCTTCAATCCCTCTGCTGAAACTGGGGGTTCTGACAGGATTTCCTGTGTATCAACAGCCACGAAATACTGTACGTGTCACTGGCCTTCATCTCTGGCATCCTCCTGACTGTCCTGGTTTTTGCAATCATCTTCCTCTTCAGGAAAAGTGAGTGACGCAGCCGAGGGCGCAGCAGCAGCCTGACGGTGGCTGCAGAAGTTGCTTGGTTGCTCAAGTAGTGTCTGCCTTGAGTGATTGTGTGTTGGTGAGCAGCTCATCCCTGGCAGTAACTCCTCGTGAACCATCCCAGTGGTGTTTTCAGGAATTAATTCACTTTGCCACTGCTGAGGTCTGGGGGTTTTTGTTGCTTGTGGGCATTCCTCATCCTAATCCTGGCTGCACTGAATTCATCCTGGCCACTTCCAGCAGGTGGGCAGGGACTGGGCAGCCCAAAGTGCCACTTTGCTGTGCCAGAGGTGGCACATCACCTGCGTGCCACCCCTCTGCAGCCTCCCTTGCATTGCTGCCTGCAAACACCTCAGGCTGGCATCCCTTTCCCTCCTAGGTTCTAAAAGATCCCACCAAAATTTACCACAGGAAACCTTCACCCAGAGGGCAGCTGAGGAATCTCTTAGGAGCACCCAGGTAAATGTCCCAGCTGTCATTTCTAATGCTTTATGCAGACATTCCACATTCTTGACAGTGTGGTAAATATTACTTTGGGTGGGAGGGAGAGAAGCCACCTTTGAGACTCCACTGTTACTCAGCAGTTCTTTCGACAGCTTCAGGGGTTCTGGGCCTTAACCACTGATGAGGCAGACTAGGAGAGCTCTCTTTAAAGGGGAAGCATTTCTGCACTTTTCCTCTGTGATATGAATTCTCTGAAGCCCCCAAAGGAGACTTCACCGAGAACCCTGAGGCAGACTGGCCAGTGGGATGAGCATTCACCCATTTCCCAGCAGGGACAGGCTGTTAATGCTGTGTGGGGCTGAGGACGAGCTACAAGTGGGGGATTGCTGCTGCCCTGCAGTGCTGGTGCTCTCTCTAACGCCTGTGGCTTCTCTCCCATGCCCAGAATGAAGTGACCTACAGCACTCTGGTCTTCCAGCAGGGCAGGACACCGCTGCCTGTGTGACGAGCAAGTTCCAAGTGAAATCAGAATGCTCCCACTTTCTGGACAGCAAAAGCCACGAGGATGTTACACCAAGGGAAGGCCCTGGGAATGCCCCCGTGCCCTCTGTAACACAGCTCTTTTTGTAGCTATGACAGGAAATTGTCTCCTGTTCAAACTGGCTGCCAACAGCTGCGGGCAAATGGAGTTTCTGTACAGGATTTCTTCATCTGTAGAAATCTCCCTGCCCTTGTAAAGTTTCCGTTTGTGAGAACTGCCAGAGAGAAATGAGAAATGAAAATGTTTCTCTGCATCTATCCATATGTGTGCCCTTGTGTTTCCCTTTTCTGTCACCAACTCTAACCTTTGCCGTATTTTTTTGGATTGCCAAGTGCTCTGCTTAGTAATTTTCTGTTATTGAAGTGATGCCCATGAAATGTCTGGATGCAAATCTCTGCTTCCTGGTTGGGTCCCATAAAAGAAATGCACAACCACAGCGTGACAGCCAGAATCTCTGGGAATGCTCATTCAGGTATCACCCGCAGAGCTCTCAGTGCAGTGTAAAACCCGTTCCCTGTGCATGAGCAGGGATGGTTTCCCGGGGGTGGCCGTGTCACAGCAGCCCGGGACTCCCCAGGAGCAGGGCTGGAGGTGCCACCTGATGGCAGCAGCAGCCCGGGCTGGGGCTGCCCGGAGCCCCGCGCTGCTCGGTGCCTGCAGCCCGGACACCTAGCTGGGCTCCAGCCCCTGTAGCTCCTCTGGCCCCTGCAGCCCCTCCATCTCCTGTAGCTCCCCCAGCCCCTCCAGTCCCTCCGGCTTCTCCAGACTCTGCAGCCCCTCCGGTCCCCCCCAGCCCCTGCCTCCCCTCCAGCCCCTCTGGCCTCTGCAGCCCCTGCAGCCCCCCAGCTCCCCCAGCCCCTCCAGTCCCTGCATCCCCCCAGCCCCTCTGGTCCCCCCAGCCCTTCCAGCCCCTCTGGGCAGTGCTGCCCGCTCCTCCCAGCAGCTGCAGAGCCCCGGGCACCGCTGCAAAGTGTCACCAGACGCTGCGGTGCGCTGGAATTTGCTGTGCTGGGTTTGGCCATAGGCTGCTGCGGGTACCACGGACTTGCACAGGGTGGGCAGAACGAGCTGTGCTCTTCGTTCTGCTATTCTCTGTCTCAGCTCGGTCCTGGCAGCTCCTTCACGCTCTACTGAATAGAGAAAATAGGGGGAGCATCTTCCCCTCACCAGAAGGTGAGCTCTGGCTGAGGTCCCTCAGGTGCACTACATTTCTGCTTTTCCTAGACCACTTTTATTATTTGAAGAGGGAGAGAAAAAGAGCCTGGCCTTTAACAACTTCTCCTCTTTGCAGTTTGACCCGTGTTCCCTCACAGGGCTGTGGCAGCTGTGCTGGAACAATCACTGAACTTCTGTGCCACCCAGCAGGACACTGACTGAAACTGGGCAGGTTTCTTCTGGTCATGGGAGGACTCAAAGGCAGAATTAGTGTCAAATCCATCCACTATTTATTATTACTCATGAAAACGTGACAACACTGGCTGAAGCACAAACTGACCAGAATCAAGTTGAGTCTGAATAGACAAAAATGGTCAGTGAGCTTGTGAGCTGCTGGATTATGAACAGCAAAGAACACATCCTGGTTTGCAATCAGCTCAACCAATCTCCATGTTAAAAAAACCCCAAACCACCCAACCAGACAAAGTTTCCATCTTCTGTGTTTAGAAATTATATTTCATAAAGACATATATTCACAGGGAGCTTTAGAGCAGCCTCAGACCCACAGCTGCTGCACTTTCCCAAGAGTTTCCCAGCAAAGCCAGGTGCTTTATCAATTTCTGGCTCTCACTGGCTGCCTCAGCCTCTCTTTATGACTCTGGGTCTGTTGTTTGCTCTGTAAGAGCTGGGTCTGGGTTTTTGCACAGGATGTAGGTCCTTAAAATTAAAAGATATGTAGTTTTGAACTTCTTTATCTTGTAGGCATAGACAATGGGGTTCATGGCAGAATTGGCATGGGATAAGAGGATTGCCAAGTAAATCAAATATGGGGGGATCTGAGACTCGGGATGAAAGTAGAAAATGCAGTTTATAATGCACAGAGGCAGCCAGGAGATTGCAAAGAGGAAGAGAACCAGTGCAAGAGACTTGGCTGCCTTGAGCTCCTGGGCGTAGAAAGCCGCAGCCCCCCTGCCACCGCTGCCTTGGCTGAGCTTGGTGTGGATGATGTAGAAGATCTCGGCGTACAGAGCACACATGGCGAGCAGGGGCACGAGCGTCCACGTGAAGAAGAAGAAGTACACCATGTAATCCATCCTCATCACGGAGATGAACCTGCACCTGAGGTGGCCGGAGCTCCTGGGGCCGGCCTTGTTCCAGCCCATCATGGGCACGAGCCCCCCCAGCAGGGACAGCGCCCAGCACAGCCCCAGGGCCCACCACACCCTCCTCTCCGTGGTGATCATTTTATATCTGTAGGGGAAGAAATCCCAGGTCGTGTTAAAGAGAAGTGTTTAAGGTAGTTAAGGATGACCTCACCTGTTCAGGTACTGCAGGGTCATTGTTAGAAAATTCAGCATTCACTTTTTTTTCGTGGGGGACCCAACTTTTATCTTGGGACAAGCCCCACCTCTTCATTTGTAACAGTGACTTTGCAGCATCAGTAAGAACTGTGCTTAAGATCCCTTGTTTAAAATTGGATGTTTAACCTGTTTTATTTCTTGTTTCATTATGATCTTAGTTCTCCTCTTGCCAGGATATTGCCTTGCTGCTGTTGGAAGTCCTGTCTTATCTCTTGGCTTCCTTGAGAGTACCTTCCTCTTTTTATTTCGTTTACGCCATTTCTAGGGCTAAAATTCCTTCTTCAGCTTCACGGGTCCTTTCCCACTATAAAACATGACTTTTTGGATGCTTTTTATGCTTTGCTTTTCTAGCTTGTGTACTTTTCATTGACACGTAAACAGCGAGTGACTTAACAGCGAGTTAATTGTTAATAAGTTTGTTACTACTTTTGTATTTTCAGCAAATGCTAAAAGGAATTTTATTTAAAACACAAGCTGTAAACAGCGAGTGACTTAACAATTAACAGTGAGTTAATTGTTAATAAGTTTGTTACTACTTTTGTATTTTCAGCAAATGCTAAAAGGAATTTTATTTAAAACACAAGCTTCAGAAACTTAAAAAAACCCCCACCCCTATAACACACTCAGCATCCTGTGCAATACATGAACATGCTGAACAATCTAACAATCTGCCCACAGATGCACCCTGTGATTGCACTCTGATCGGGGATAACCGAGCTGAGCTGGTTTTCCAGCTCATGAATAAAAAATAATCCAGTCCATGAGCACCCCCAGGCCTCTGGGAAGCCCATCCCAGGTGGGCTTTGAGGCACAAGCATCCACCTCAAGTAATTAAAGTAATCAGAGGTTGGAAAGGAGGGCAGAGGAGGCGGGGCAGGGGGGACAGCTCACCTGGTGGGCAGCTTGACCCGCAGGTACCTGTCGATGGCGATGGCCAGCAGGGACAGGATGGAGGCGTTGCTGCACACCAGCAGCAGGCAGCACATGAAGAGGCAGCTGTAGGCGGGCATGGCCATGCCCAGGCTCACCACCACGGCCAGGGGCACGGCCAGCAGCCCCATGGCAGCGTCGGCCAGCGCCAGGGAGGCGATGAAATAGAGCGTGGTGTTCTGGCAGGCCGCGCTCAGCCTCGCCGCCCAGAGCACCAGGACGTTGCCCAGCGTGGCAACCAGGGCCACCAGGCACTCGGCGCCGATGTAGAGCCCGTCCAGGCTGCTCAGGGCCAGGCTGCTGTTGGGCATCCTGGGCTCTGCAGGCGACGGGAGAGCATCGGCGCGGGATCCTCGGCTGCGCGCCTGCTCCGGATCCTCCGACCTCCACGCTCTGTGCTGGGGCACCCGGCAGCAAATCCGAGACCTGCAGCTATCTCAGCTCCCCGGAACCATCCTCCTCCCTGCAGACCCCTCCCGATGCTCACTGCATCCCTCCAGCAGCCCCGGTGCCTTGGGAAGCTGTCTGGGAGGGAGAACGCTCCTTCCGCTCTCCTTCTTACCAGCAGCTTACAAAGAAATAGTTTACAGGTTCCTCTTTCAAGCTGTGGAGGTGCAAAAACGTCAACAGCAGTTGCTGTAAAGCGGCCAGTTATCAGTCCAGCTCATCTCTGTCACTGTCACAGCGGAGGCAGCTCGGCTGTGGGGTGGTGAAGGGGGCTGCCTATAAAACCACACGTGAGGGTAAGGACAGGGAGGTCTGATGTACCAGCAGGGGGAGAACAGGCTTGGCCTGGGGAAAAATTAATTCCCAATCAAATCAGAGCAGGCTAAAGAGAGAAAAAAGCAAGTTGTAAAGGCAGAGGGGGGTGCTGGGGCAGAGGCTCCAGCCTGTGAGGCCGCCCTGGCCCAGGGGAGCTGGAGGATGGAGCTGGAGGTGGAGGATGGAGCTGGAGCTGGAGGATGGAGCTGGAGGATGGAGCAGCCAGAGGATGGAGCAGCCCCTGCACGAGGGGTCATGGCTCTGCTCCAGCAGCAGATTTACCAGCCCTGGCCCTGCCCATGCCTTTCCCCCCAAAGGCAGGTGCTTTTCCCTGGGGACGCTGTGTCTGATGCCACCGAGCCCGGCTGGGCCCGGTGCGGGGGCTGCACCCCCTGTTCCCAGCAGGATCCTGCCGGGGCAGGCACAAGGTGCTCGGACACCCTTCAGGTGCTTCCTCCGCAGGCAGCATCTGTTTCCTGCCCTGAGCAGGACGGGGCCAGGGCTGCGGGACTCCTCTGTCAGCAGGGGAGGACGAGCCCGTCCCGGTGCCGTCCCTGCCCCCCTGAGCACGGCTTTCCCTCCGCCTGGGGGCTCCGGGTCCGCATCCCTGCCCCGAGCGCTGCATCCTCGCTCAGCCCTCCTCCCGCCGCCCTCCCTCCGGCTCGGGAAACTCGGGCTGGGCTTTGCCGAACCATCGGGCAGCCCGTGCAGAGCAGCAGCCCGGGCTGCAGCAGCCCCGCGGGTCTGGTGCAGGGGAGGATGCCAAGGGGTGTTTTGGTTACCGGCGGAGAGGAGCCCCGGGAGCTCGGACCGGAGCCCCGGGGATGTCACAGCGAGATGGGGTTAAAGCTTTCGGATCGCTGCCGAGCACTCGCTGGTTTTGCCATTTAAAGGCTGTGCTCGTTTCTTGGATGGCTCCAGCGAAAGGCTTCCAGCTATTCCCGAGGGATCCTCCTACATCCTGGTGAGATAAGGATCAGGAAGGGAAGGTCTCTGCAACCTCAGCTGCGGCTTTGAGCACAGATTCCCTTTTCACTTTGGGGGTGGAG